CTGAATAAATGTTTTTTGTTGTGATATTAGGGGCGCACATGGCTATAGCAGGGTTTTTACCTAGCCTCCTTTGCTATATATAGGAGGTCCTTTTTCACAGCTGTAACTGAATGAAAGTGAAAGTGAAATACAGAAAAGCTCCCTCTTCCTCCCAACTCTGTGTTCACCCTGTTTGTGCTTGTGATTGTCGGCATGTTCGCTTGGTCGTAAACGATCGTAAATTTCCAGCCAGAACAGTATTTTTCTCTCACACCAAACCAGTCAGCAGTAATAATCCACGATCGTATATGTCGACGAAATATAGTTGGCAGTCCACCGAGGGGGGTGCCCGTGGTGGTAGATTATCGGTAGGATACGTGTAATCAGGAACCAGATGGTTACAGAGACACAAGACACAAGATTTATCTGAGTTCGAGCCGCCGCCATGTGGCGTAAAACCCTACGCCCATGCTCTCATTATTTGTATTGATCTGGGGTGAGATCTGTATGATCTGTCCTCTATGGGACCCCCTTTATATATATATATGCGAAAGGACAAGGTTACAAGTAAAGTATCAATTTTGTACAATTACAATATAGCGTCGTTACTCACTTGCGTCTTCATCTTCTTGGTGGGCCACTTCCGGTGGTGCGGCCCATGTATACCCATGAGGGTATAGGGGGTCTATTCCCCCACAGCTAGTCCCCGAGCGCCTTGTATCCTTCGAGTAGCGTCGTCTTGAGCTTGCCAGAAGGATGTAAGGGGCTCAAGATAAAATTAAAAAAATTTCCCTCGAAGTGTGCCCACTTTGACTCGAGTCAAAAAGAGACGCGCGCCGTCCTTGTAGAATCGGAGGTGTTTGAACCATCGAGCGAGCATATTCACCGCAAGGTGAAGTGTGCCCACTTAGTCCCCGAGCCTGGTAGTAGGTGACGTAGGCACGTGGTGCCAGGGTCTAAAAAGAATTCCCAGTTAAGTTGAGAATCCAATCGTCGTACAGGCGATACAAGATGCACCGGCAGGTGCATCGTACCGATGTAGTCCCCGAGCTTGCTGGAAGGCGAGTATATGCCTTGTAGCAAGGTCTAAACGAAAAGAATATCCCAACTATGCGCGGTCGTCGATGCATGTAGTTGAGACATAAAGTCCCCGAACGTGGTCGGAAAGTGGTCGAGGCGCCCCGAACACAGTCGAGGGACGAGCGGCAGAGTCCACGAGCCGTGGTCGGAGAGTTGTCGAGGCGATCCCCGAGCACAAGTTGAGGGGCGAGCGCGAAGTCCCGAGCTGTGGGGAGAGTGATCGAGCGATCCCGATCACAGTCAAGGGCGGCAGCGCGAAGTCCCGGCGTGTAGCTTCGAGATCCCTACAATATAAATATATAGAACGGTAATATATGATGTACAAAATAATAATTTATGGAGAAAAATCAACAGTGAAGAAATAGCGTATGATACTCAGCAGTCATTTGCAAATGAGTATGATGTGATAAAGCAGTTAGTGCTTTGTAAACATCGGTGTTAAAATAAAGTTTGTGTTTATACTTTATATAAACCGTCCGACCAGTTAGTATGTAGTTGTGAGCCTCCAAATTTCTAGCTAGCTTCATCTTTGTAGCATGGAGCGCGAGCCCGTGTGCGTGTAGGAAGACGCGTCGCTAAGGAGCACCGCCAGCGACGCACCCGCGAACGCAGAGGCGACGCTCATACACGTGTGGAGAGAGCCGGTGAGAGGGGCCGTTTCTGGAGACATCGAGCGTCAACATGACTGGTCGATGATTTGCATTAAGTATAGCTGTATGTTATCTTTAAGATGGTATACATGGACAAGCGTTATTTGAAGAATAATTATGACGAGGACGTTGTGGAAAAACGTCGTAATAAAAATTGTGTTAAATATAAATATTAGAAGTGTACTTATCTTTGGATAGAAATCTGGTCGATGGCGATAAAGTTGTCTGGTCCTCGTGCTTTTCGGCCTATTGTGACGGTGGTCGCGGTTGTCATAGCGCCGTTTTTCGCGGTGATCATCATTGCGACGTGGTCTGGTGGTCGACGTGGTTGGAGCTCGGCAGAGCCGCTCGAGACGTAGTCGACCTGGTCGTGGTCGACGTGGTCGGTCGGGACGTGATCAACGTGGTCCGTGGTCGAAGTGGTCGGAGCTCGGCAGAGCCGCTCAGGACGTGGTCGACGTGGTCCGTGGTCGACGTGGTCGGAGCTCGGCGGAGCCGCTCAGGACGTGGTCGACGTGGTCGTAGTCGGCGTGAGCTTGGCGGAGCTGCTTAGGACGTGGTCGACATGGTCGTAGTCGGCGTGAGCTCGGCGGAGCTGCTTAGGACGTGGTCGACGTGGTCTCGTACGGCTTGTTCAGCGACTCGGCGGGGCTTGCCGACATCGTACAGGATGGACGCACGCGTACTTCACGTACACATATGAGTACATGCACAAATCGCCTAGCTTCCGTGTCTTGTAGATCACGGCTGGCATGCGTTAGGTTGCCGATTGTCCATGTTTCCGTAGAGGTGATGTTGACCAAGTGATCAAAATATGCCGTCATGGAAGCTGCAGACAATCATGAAGGCAGATGTAGAAGTATATATGCAATAGAATTGCTTATAATAATTTAATAATAGAAACGACTTAGCTCGTTCAATTGGAGTGGATCCGATCTTGGAAACGTGGCTCAGCGAACAAATCCGCACGACGTGTGTATGTAGATACATGTACAAATAGCGACGTCCTATCCATGGATTGCTGGAGCAGGAGTCCCGTGCTTGTGCTGTGTCTTGCACGTGTCTAAGCTGTTGACGTCTCGAGCCCGTCCTTTTTGCTTCTCGGTGAAATTCCCAACGACAGCTTTCTCGGTTGGTGCTTGCCGATCGAACTTGGATCTATTGGGCCGCATCTTTCCATCGTGCATGAATACATGCAAATCTTCATGGCCTTTACGGTTCTGTAGATCGGATCGTAGAGCCACGGATAGTGTTGGCAAACGGGGCCTGCAGCAAGCTGTCGATGCGCTGACAAGGCGTGGGACCACGATGAGCAGTCGACGATGAGGGCCGGCACGAGCGTCAATGTCGTCGGAAGCCAGGTCGCCATGGATGATATTGATGAAGAAAATCGCCATATGATTCGTTGGAAGATCAGCACACACAACTCCTAAAAGGGGACCCCTACCTGGCGCGCCACTGTCGATGAAATATGATCGGCAGTCCATCGAGGGGGTGCCCGTGGTGGTAGATTATCGGTAGGATACGTGTAATCAGGAACCAGATGGTTACAGAGACACAAGACATAAGATTTATACAGGTTCAGGCCGTCAGTGTGGCGTAAAACCCTACGTCCTGTGCTCTGTTACTTGTATTGATCTGGAGTGAGATCTGTTATGATCTGTCCTCTAGGGGACCCCTGCCCCTCCTTATATACTACGAAGTGACAAGGTTACAAGTAAAGTATCCAATTTGGTACAATTACAATATAGCGTCGTGCTCCGCACGTCTTTATCTTGCGGGCTGGGTCACTTCTGATGGTGCGGCCCATGTATACCCATGAGGGTATAGGGGGTCTATTCCCCCACAGTATATGATCGTTTCAGCCCCAGCCGAACAGGCTGTGTATGTGCCGAAGAACGTGATTTCTAACAAAATGTAATTATTTCCAGTAAAAACTTTATGGACTTGGGGGGTCTTGTCCCCCTCCTCCCGTGCTGTGTCTTGCTGTCGCTCAGATCACAACTTTCTAAATCTTCAGAGATGACTACTAACACTACCACGTCTAGTCTTCTAAGCACATTGCCCAAGGATATACCTGCAAGCTTTCTGAAGCAAATCACAAATGATTTTTCTCCTGAGCTAGAACTTGGTAAAGGTGCATTTGGAACAGTCTCAAGGTATGATCATCGATCTATACGCCTGAAATTTGTTCCTGCCTTCTGAAGTTGACTGAACGCATGTCAGCATGCCAATATACATACTAATATATGATACTTGACATAGGGAATTGCGGAGAAATTACAGTAGAGTGCCGGGGATTAGCGCAGGAGAAGGTGGTAGAAGAGTACCACATCACATTCTCTGTCTGATGGGGTTAACGAGTGTGCAGCGCAGTTTTTACTTCTTGGAACTTTGTAGATCCGGTGAAGAGCTTTTGAGTTTAGACTTTTCAACTCTTCCAGCACAGGAAGCAAAAGTGCTTCATTTTTTTTTTTTTTTTTACAATAAAAGTGCTTCCGTTGAGATGTTGCTGCCCCATCACACCAACATGAATCGTTATTAATAAATGATAAATCAGCCTAGAATGGGCTGAGCTGACTGATGGGTGCTTTAGTTGTGTTTGCTTGGCTTTGGCGCCGGATGCGGACCTGTCATGTTATATTTCATGGTTTTCACGATTTCGACAAATACTTTCTACTAGTAACTAGTGTCTATCTACATTATGTTTATGAGATTATTAAGTATTTTTCCAAGACAATAGTTGCACATATGCTCAGCTGAAACATTTTTCACACAAGGGGACTGATATTTTTCGCACATTGCTCCAAACTTGAAATAATAAAAATCCAATCAGAAACAGATGAAACCTACAGGCTTCTTAAAATAACGCAGACCACCTCCTACAAACAAAAGAAAATAACATGGATAATGCATTGTGCAAAAAGATAGCACACAAAAAATGTATGAAGGGCCATTCCTTTAACAGTACCGAGCAATTCTTAATTTGCAATATATCACTATCAGCCAGCTCAACAAATTCCACAAAATTTTTGCCGAGCATTACATGAGCACATGGTCAAGGAAAGATACAACATCCTGTTACTAATTGTTTAAAAAATACACTGTTTTCTCATCCGCAAGTTCTTCATGCTGATGTGAATTTTCAGGGGGCACCATCCGATGCAAACGTGATTCAGGAAGCAGAATCCATGTATATAATGGAGATAAATATGAAAAGTTGCTTGTCTGGCAGACACCACTTGTGATTGATTACAATTCAGGGCAACGCTGATGCCCATGGATGGAGAACTATGCCTTTTTCCTAGTGATCCTGCCACAAGACAAACTTTGTGTCAACCAACTGATGATACAAACACGTGCAAAGGAAGATGATGGTAATGAGGATTAAAAACCTGAAGCAGTGAATCCCAAGTGCATTGGTGATCTCATGAATAACAGACGTAGCAAAATGCATGTACAAAGCCACTGCAAAAGTAAAAAAAATAGTCAGACCGGTGTCCACGTGCTCTTACAATCCAAAGGTAAGATGAGCGACAAGCCTACAGTCAATGAATTTTTGAATGTGGTCAATTTGATGCAATGGTAAGCTTTGAGCTACTGATCTAAAGTTTTCAAATCATCAACAGAAACACTCTAAACATGATGATTTAGCAGGTTTAGTCTTTCATAAATACAACACCAAAAAGAATGTTGCTCTTTGAGCAACAAAAACACACCAAAAAAGTACTTCAGCGCACAACTGCACAACTGCCCGCTTGTTGCTAGAAAAGATAATCATGAGAATAAATAACGCAGTACCTGTAAATAAGCAGTACATCAGGAGAACTAGCTGCTCATCAACGAGGGGATTTCTGCAACGATCAATGAACATAAAATTAGATGGACTATGAAATTATTAATACAAAAGGATAATAGAAGAAGGTATCTAGGTGCAAACCCATCATCAAGCCGGGCAGTCAAGCGCATTTGCAATTGCAAATGGAAAATACGCAAGGACTGTAGAAGGATAAATATGATTTTAAGCAAGGCCATAAATGAGGATGGTGTAAAAAAGAACAAAAGAATGATTGGGCTTTCCAAGCAAGTACCATGCACATCCCTGTTTTCAGACCTTTGGGTTCATCACATAAATGAGCCAGAATCATTCTTCCCTGTGGAGCAATATAAGCAGATATAAAGTAATGTTCATATTTTTACTGCACTACAGTATCTGAAAAAGGGAATCAGTAAGAGCAAAATAAAATCAGCATGAGAGATCAGGGTCTAAACTATATTTTTGGCATAAGGACACAATGCTCTCAAGTCTTAAACAGGAAGGTGTCATTTACAAACGATCATATACACAAAGAAGCAAAGGAAGGACACAGCTACACAAGGCATTGATTGTACAAAAGCAAATACAAAACCAGTTTACAACAATTGGCCTTACCACAAGAAATCCAAATGCAAAACCAGTTCCAATAATTAGCAAATGTGGTTGATTTCTCATTATATCTGAAGGAGAAAGGTAGGACCTGCACAAAAATGCAATATCCTTCAGTGATATACTAGAGGCTACTAAACTGGTAGCTTAGATTGCCCAGTTCAAATTTCTTGGTAGAGTGATGCATAACTGCATACACGTGAAGCAAGGAAGGGTCTCAAAAGCCTTACCAGACAAGAACTCCAGCCAAGAGCAAACCAAAAGGAAAGAGCTGGCACAAATGAAGAATATCAGATGAATGAAAGAGAATCACAAAATCACAAAAGTAGAAAAAAGGAAATAAATTTTGATATTACCATGGCTAGTGCCAGCACCATGCTTCCTTTTCTTGCTTCAACGACTTTATATACATTGTGAATGCTGTACAGTTGCAAATTAACTTTATCAACCTTATATTATATTTCAATGATACAAACATTCAAAATTATAATATACAATAAGCTCAAGCATTGAAGAAAAGCTTGTCCAACACCGGTTGAGATGGTTTGGACATGTCCAACGGAGACCTCCAGAGGCACCGGTGCGTAGTGGAATCGTAAGCCAGGATAGTAACGTGAAGAGAGGCAGAGGAAGACCGAAGTTAACTTGGGTAGAGGCAATAAAAGGAGACTTGAAAGGATAGAATATACCCAAAGACTTAGCCTTAGATAGGAGTGCTTGGAAAACAGCTATTCACGTGCCTGAACCTTGATTGCTTCTGCTGGGTTTCAACTCTAGCCTACCCCAACTTGTTTGGGACTTAAAGGCTTTGTTGTTGTTGTTGTTGTAATAAGCTCAAGCATTAAGTAAACGAGGTATTGTTCCACTAGATCAGCAATACTTGCTTCGCTAGCGATTCAAAAAGGTACTAGAGCATCTAACCAAGAGTCCAAGACCTAGATCTTAAATGCAATGTGTATGCTTATGCTTAAGCACCAAAAGAGTACATAATTCAGCAGTTGGTCTATTATGCCTTTCCATCCATAGATCTATACGCAAGCGTTAAAAAAACGAAAAGGCGGAAACAAAAACTGAACTTAGGTACCTTTTGTGCAAGTCTGATAATGACTTCAACTAGAGCATTAAAATCACTTGGTTTGATAGGGGTTGTTTTAGATATATTGTACAGAAACATGTATCAGCTAAAAGGGTATCAATTCATTCAATTGGTTCGTTGCAGCATTAACTAGCTCTGGCACTATAATATTCATGTACCAACCTATCAGGTGGTCCATTTTGCAACTGTAATTTCACTTTAGCCATTTCACTTCATAGCGAGACATCAATTAAAGATTAAACTATTTCTTTTTTATTGGAAAGATAAATTAATCTTACATATGAAACAATATACAGAAATAAAGATTAAAATATACTTATTGTTTCTTTGGACTTTAGAACTCAATATAACAGCAAATGTAATTTTAGAGATCTTTACAGATAAGATTACAGGGCCATATAATATACAAAAAAAATGATACAGAACACCAGATAGCACAAAATACCACTTGAAAGTAATACATGTTGTCGCACAGTACTTACTTAGATCCAATTGTTGGGATTACAGCAAAAGCAATCATAAGACATAGCACAATGTCATACACCGGGATTTCTGGGGAAAGAGGCAATGAGCGTAAAACCTCAGTATAGGTAAAGTCAATTCGTCTTCCATTTCACAATGAAGCTTTTACAGAGTATTAAGAGGAAGAAAAATGCCAGGAACAGGTGATATATATGGCGCTAAAATAAAAGAAATTGGTGACCATATGATAATATAACTATAAATACAAAAAAAGGAATCTTAGTATGGTAGCATACATACCAGAAATAAAAGGAACCCAACCCAGCAGGGGCATTGACTTCTGAAAATCCTGTGCCCACCACTCGGCTCCTAAAAAGGAAGATGAGCTATAAATACCACAAACCACATGTTTTTAGTAAAGGCCTCATACATATGCACAGTGAATTAGAAGAGGAACACCCCTTATTTAAAGTTCAACAGGGACCTTATAAGCATGAAAATTGACAGTTTAAACCAAATGATACCTGTGAAAAAGGTGAAAAAATGGCACAAGTAGATCAGCATAAGGCCCTCAGTTGGTCCGTTGACTATAGGAAGAATAAGTGTATTTGTAAAAAAGCTGCACAGAGCAATGAAGCATAAAGTTATACAGGAGAAACAAGAAATCATTTCAACAAAAAATAGAAAAGAAAGCATCAAGATAAACAACAAAATGTATATAGTAGTGAAGCTTGACAGGAGTAGTGCTTTGCACTTGCAGAAGCTAAGTTGTGCAAATCTCAGCAGGATAGTGGTAGCTGCATTATATCCCTATTTATAATTACACAAGTGTGTTTTCACTTTCCAGAAAGCACTGAAGCACTTCCCACGCAACAACATATATTATGCACAACAGCACAGAACCAAATGAACCATAATGAACCACTAGAACAAAAGTAAGAAATCAAGTTTTGAGGTCCATACAGCATAATAAAGGAAAATACATTGTGTCTGGTTTTAAAAAAAAATAGAGCCTCCAGAAGACTTAAGAGTCACGTGGGACGGTGGGAGGCATTAATCAAAAGAAATATGACCCATTTGGCAAGATATGTATAATATAAAAAGTATTAAACATGCAAATTAGTTTAGAACAATGATTGATCATACGACAGCTTGATGTTTCATTCATCGCTGGTGGACAAGGCAAGAACACAAGAACTCACTGTTCCCAGGTTGCGAAGTAAAATGGGACAGCTGAAATGAACCAAAACCAGAAGGTAGCCTTTCCACACATTGCCGTGCTTCCAAAAGCCAAGGACTCAAACTAATAGATAAAATAAAAAAATAATCAGCTCGCAACGATTTCAAAATCATTGCACTTGAAAGAAAAAAGATTGACAGGTGGGCCTTACAGCACAGGCAAGCGCATCACATCCTGCACAGGATGCAAACTTGTCAGCATCATACGAGATTTCTTAAAACTGAGTACACTAGCTTAAATTCCAACTGGAGATTACCGTGGTCAAAAAGCTCGCCTAGAGGACTTGATGAGTTGGTACGCCTTGCTTGTTTTCCATCCACAGCATCAAAAGTCTGCATAAACACCATTCCATGTAAACTAAAAAAGTGGAAGGTTTGACATGATATTTCAATTAAAAAAATGAAGCTATTAGATCCCAGGAAAACCGGAAAACCCCAATCAGATGTTCAGAAAGATATTCAGGGATCCTAAGATCCACAAAATTGATTACGAAAACCTAGATACCATGGGTCAGTACATGCCTTGAATTAAAAAAAAAAGTGCTAGAAGTGCAGATTGACAAATTAGAGTACTAGTTGAATGCCAAGCTTATGTTATGCTGTGAAGGGAAAATATGGCAGTAGAGCAATGCGTATTTGGGTGAGCACATAAAGATTGGCAAACCTGATAAAGGAAGAGAAGCAGTCCATGAGCAAGGTGAACCCATCTGGGGGGGTGCTGTATCTAGATGTGGTGAATATAACTGCACGTAGAATGGAAGCAGTAATAAGGCTCAAGCTTTCTGAACTATTAGTATTGTAGTGCTATGATCATCCAGAAAGAGAAACTCACATACATATGTAAGAACAATACAGTATTATATGTATTGAAAACTTTACTGCAGTAAGATACTTACAAAGCCAAGGAATGCCGATGTCAGTAGAAACATGAAACCTGTCAGTGTAATCTGAAAAGAAAAATGCATCAATACTTTCTATCAGGACAACAAAAGAAGCACAGTTCATTGTAAGAGCAGGTGAATTGAACTCTCACCATGTTTGGTCTGCAGATCATCCCAGCATCAACCAAAAAACAAATAAAAAAAGATAAAGTTAGCACTCAGCACAGAGGAAAAAAGAAGCAACAGCTTGATGTGTGCAAGCATTAACTTGAAGGAAGAATGCAAACGTGACTTACTTCATCGGAGTGATAAACTTTGCAGGTAAACAGCAAATGACAGGATACTTTTTTTTGAAAAAAAAAACAAGGCATACCCCATTTCCATTTACCAAGGAAGCAACTGAACAGCAGAATCAAAGAATGGCAAGGCTTGATTTAGTCGCTATCGCATAAAGTTAAAATAACGGCGTTAAAGTACATGTGTCAGAATAATCCTCAGATGTCACATTGAAGGCAAGGCTCTTAAAGTAATCCGGAAGAACATGGTTACAGAATATATGCGAGCCAAGCTTTTTCAGCTTTGCAAGATGGAAACACTCAGCAAAAGCCGTTGCTTTGTGGCTGTGTGCGGTCTACAGTCCCTGGGGGATGCTCACCAAAGCTAAAGATGATTCCTCAAGCTAAGCTAAAGGTCGGGACTCAGCGTTACAGAACATTAGTGCCAGGTAAGCTCGAACTGCCCGAATCAAATCACACACATGGCAGATGCCACACAAATAAGCCGGAACTGGAGATGTCGGTATACAATGAATCAAAACCAGATCAGGACAGTGTGGCCAATAGGAACAGAATGGCAGCAAGATGGTGGATGCAGGCAGGCAGGCAGCACCGCCAACGGGGTCGGGTCTGAAAACAATCTTAGCTTGTTGCTGGAAAACCAATCATTCTCACTACGCCATTCAGCAACGGGGGAGAGTTGGAGGTTGACACGGACGGATGAAGCAAGAATCAGAGAGAGAGAGAGAGAGAGAGAGAGAGAGGGAGGGAGGGAGGGAGAGAGAGGCAGAGAGGGGAGGACGCTTACGGGAACCATAGCGGGAAGATGTTGACGAATCGTGACCAGAAGGGCTGGAGGATGTACTTGGCGACGAGCGAGTGGTCGACGCCGCTGTACTTGTAGCGCCGCAGCGTGGCGACGCCGTGGTGGCCAATGTAACCCATCTCCCTCCCCTCGCCTCGCCTCGTCTTCCTCCTTGTTGGGACGGACAGGCAGCAATCCCCAAATCCGAATCCCGGAAGGAAGGAACGAAGCGAGGAAGAGGAGAGCACGCGTGCGTGGGAGGCGGCGTGCCGCGTGGTGATTGGCGGGATCTAGCGGGGGCCAAGAGAAGGCCGCCGGCGCCCCGGTTGGGTCGAGGGAGCGAAGAAGAGGAGGAGAAAACGAAGCGGAATGAGTGGAAGGCGAAGCGGAACCGTGCGTTTTTTACGGTTTGGTCTCTCCGTTTGCGCCGTATTAATGTCGGGTCCACTAGGCACATGTGCCTTTCCTATTTATTATTCCGCGTTACTTTCGGAAAAAAAAAGAAAAAGTTGTTCTGCATTGGCGTATATTTGCAAAAGGATAATATACTGTGAGTATTCGAGAGGAATGCAACACGTCTGGGTATTTATTCTTTTTTTAATTATATAGTAGAGATAGAGAGAATAGAAGTCTGTTTTTTTGTCACGGCTTAGAGAAATACGTGTGCGCATGGAAAAAAAATTATTCTAGGTGTAATTTAAAAAGAAATTTGTGAAACCAGAGAAATGGAAATTTTTTTTGGACCAAACACGGAAACACATGTGTCAGTAGTTGTTACTCTCCAACTTTTATTCCGCGTCTCCTCCACCAAAGGGACATGGCAACCACACGTTTTATGTAGTTTTAACATATAAATTTTTTTCATTATAGGATTGAGATCCAACAGCCTCTATATTTCTTCTATCTTCAGTCTCCACAGATCACAGATCATAATTTTTTTATGAAAGGACAAATAACAGATCCGTCGCCGTCGCCGTCGCCGCCGCCATGGCCAGTGCGGGCGTTGGGAGGCGCCGCCACCGCCACTGCCATGGTCGGCGACGCATGCACAGGTCGGTCGCTCGACGGCACGGATGCTCGGCTAGGCGATGGCTACGACAGGACGGCAGGGCCGCAGGGGCTCGCGGCGAGGCGTCCGCGACGGTTTGGTGCCTAGCTGCCGCCGGCACCGAAACAGGGCCGCTGCGCGAGCAGCTAGGGGTGGTGAAGCTGCTGGTGGTGGTTGGGAGCTCGGCGGTGGCCGGCCATGGCGCTCGGCACCTTTGCTCTGGAGCGGAGTGAGGAAGGGGATGGGGAGAGAGAGAAAGGGAGTGCGCTCGAATTCCACTTCACGCGTGCGTGCTACAGAGAGTGGTAAGGTGGCCAGCATGCGAACGGGGTGAGGCCATGTGGCAGCGTGCGGTCATAAAAAAATCCATGTATTTTTTGCACTAAAATACACGTGTGTTGTATAACATTTCTGTTCCTTATAGATCGTTCTATTTTATTTATTGTAGAGAACTGAGAAGTCTAGCACGTTTGGGGCACACTATCTTTTTTCTATTTATCTATATCTCTCACAACTAATAAAAAAACTAAAAAGTGGACATGTTTGGGTGCGACCTTCTCACGTAGATCCGTGGTCCTGCCTCCTGCGTCCCTGTAGCCTCGCTGCGACGCCTGTCACTTGCGACAACATTCAAAAGGAAAGAGCTACCGTGATCCAGCCATGATCCCACGATTCACTCGCCCGCCTTCAGACCCTCTCCGGTTCGCAGAAGCGGAACCCACCAACGGGCAATGGGCGAGCATGGACCATGGAGTTTCTCTGAGAGGTAGTACTAGTAGATGTGGATGGGGTTTTTCTATTGGGCGCTGTCGGATAGTACGGCCGGTCGGCCGCCTCTACCTCTCCGGCTCTCCTCTCCCTGGTACCCACGGGTGACGGGAAAAATGTTCACCGGTCAGTCAGAGGCATGGGCATGTTCGCTCGGCTTTTCGTCGATATTTTTCTCTTATAATAAAATAATTTTAGCTGACTTATCAATCAATTTTAATATCAGCCAAAAACCATAAAACAGCGCCATAATTTAGCCATGTTAAAGACTAATTTGACCCTCCAAAAATAAAGTTTGTTGTACTCAACTCAAACTACAACTTCTATTAAAGCTCAAACTTCATATCTAGAAAAAACACTATAGTTTTACTTTGGTCAAAAGAGCATCATGAAAAAAGAAATTAACTATTGATCCAACACTTAGAAGCATTTCTAGGCTAGTTCATGAATATAAACCTTAGATTATTTTTTATCTTAAATATTTCTAGACTACTTTAAATAATTAAACAACAAGTCACTGTAAAAAATCTAGAACTAGACACATTTCTCAATATCCAAGTCATAGTAAAAATTTAAATTTATCAATTTTCATAACTCAGCGCCGTAGTAATTGGCGCTGAGCTCGGCGCCAAGATCCACAATGGCGAGCTCATGCCACGCCCGCGCCACGCAAGCAGCCACGTCAACGACAGGAAGAAAATGACCCTGGACCTCGGCGCCAAAGCAATTGGCGCTGAGACGTGTAAGCTCGGCGCCAATTGTCACGGCGCCGAGGCCAGGATCTATTTTTTTAAAGGATATAGCTAGAGACGTATTTGTGAAAATCTTTCAAAAAAAATCTTTCAAAAAAAAGCTGAAAAACAAAAAAATCGGCTCTCAGTGAGTATGAGTTGGCGAGCTGCCGTAAGTGTCGTTCCTCGCCTCAACCGTTCCATTCCCAACTACTACTGCTCAAAAGATCATGCGCCTAGCTTGGACCGTCAGCCAACGCGTGCGTGCGAATGTCTAGAGCGTGCTTGAATATTTTGCTATCGTGTCTTACCTAATTGGGTGAGAAACTAAATACTCCTCCGGTTCCTAAATAAGTACACATCTCAAGTGGAGGAGTCATCGATACAGGCAAGTTATTTGGATGTGCAACTAGAAGCCAACTCGCCTGGATGTTTGTGTTTACAATATTTTTGCTCGTCGATCAACTTGAGCTGGATCGCCCAAGTCTCTTTTTTTTAGAATTGGACCGCCTAAGTCTTGGCAAGACTGGGAGCCGGAGCCCTCCTACAGGCAGGGGCGGATCCAGGATACGGACAGAGGGGGCTAAATAATAAAGATTTAGGATTAGAGTTAAATATTAATGATGATTTAAGGTTAAGTAACAATGATTTAAAACAGAAATCATGCTCGCAAGGGGGGCTGTAGCCCCCTAGCCCCCAGTGGATCTGCCCCTGCCTAGAGTCGAAGCTACATTTTGATGCTTTGGCTTCACGTGCTAAAACAAACTTTGGCTCTATGCACCATAGAGTAAAAACACTATCCGCGGGGTCATATTGTTTGGTATGATGCCACATAACATAAAGAGCCAGTGTACGAGCCGCACCAAATAGGTTGTAATCTCACCCAACAATTCAAAGCGAGAAAACCAAAACAAGTATTTTAATAATTGCTTTATGCATTGTATTTTTTTTTCTAAATATGTTTGTACTAGTGATGTATTTATTTGGAATTTAGGTATTATGATATATCTTTTTACTTAAAGAAATTTGATCTAGGGCTAGGCGGCTATGAATACAAGCCCACTTATGGGCTTAACTATGCGTGTTGCCCATATAATTTAGGATGCTTTTGGCAGGGCTCCACCTGCTCGACTCTGGCTCCAAGATCATCATGTATGTTGCTGCATTGTAGCACCGAGCAAAACAGCTCCCCCTATAGGAAACAAACGGAGCCGTTAGAGCCAGAAAGTCGGAGACATAGCCGAAAAGGAGCTTGGCTAAACGATACCTTATTAATTTACACATAGGTTCGTGGGTTACTCACTTGGTGCCTACAAAATTTGCCGAGCACCTACACGCTAAAGATAAATGATTTGAGAATGTCACCTCATTTTTGTGCTTGTGCCCAACCAAAATTCTCGAGCATGTTCCAAAATCCTGAAACTGAACCCAAGAGAAGGAGCTCCGTCCCGGCCCAGCATTTCTGACAAACGAGCGAGCCCATGTCTCCAAGTTTCTTGGGCCGAAACTACATCGCTCCAGACGCAGCCCACCTGGGGAGTTCAACACAGCTCGCCTTGTCCACCATTCCACGCTGCGGCGCTGGCTCCTCCGCTCCTCTTCGCCGCCGCCCAAATCCAACCCCTCTCTCCCGCCCTCGCCGCCGCCGTTGCCCGGCCCCCTGGAAGGGGTCAAGGGGACGCGCAGGATGGGGAAGGCGCGGCACGCCGCCAAGCTCCCCCTCGCCCTCATCCCCAAACCAAAACCCAGACCCCACGCCGCCTCTCCCTCCACGCCGCCGGCGCCGCCTGCTCCTCCGCCCGCGCGTCCACCCGCCAATCCTGCCAAACTCCGCAAGAAGCCCCACGGAACCTCCAAAAGATCCACAGCCCTGCCCCCCGCCGACGCCGCCGCCCCGGCCGTGCAGGAGGAGCGGAAGCCCATCCGTACGCCGGCTGACCTCGCGGCCGCCATCCGCGCGGCGGCGGACGCGGACGTGGACGCGGCGGCCGCTTTGGCCCTCTCCGCGCCGCCGGACGTGCCGCTTCCGACGCACTCCCTCGCGCTCCTCCTCCGCCGCCTCGCCACCACCCGCTCCGTCTTCGCCGCGCGGGGCCTCCTCGACAAGCTCCACCCCGCCGGCGAGGACGACGGCGCCCCGCGCCCCAACCCGGCGCCGCGCGGGGCGCTGCTCGCGCTCGCCGACGCCGTGTGCCACCGCGGCGGGCCGCGCGAGATCTCCGGCGTCCTCCCGGTGCTCAGGGACCACGGCGTCCGCGCCGACGCGCACCTCTACAACGCCCTCATGAAGGCGCACGTCGCGGCGGACGACCCCGGGGCCGTCCTCCGCGTGTTCCGGCAGATGAGGAGCGACGGCGTCGACCCCGACCTCGTCACCTACAACACGCTCATCTTCGGCCTCGCGCGCGCCGGGATGGTCGCCAAGGCCAGGGCTTTCCTCGACGCCATGGCCGCGGAAGGCCACCTCCCGGACGTCATCACCTACACCTCGCTCATGAACGGGATGTGCGTCCAGGGCGACGCGCTTTGGGGCGCTGAAGCTACTCGAGGAGATGGAGGCCAAGGGTGCCAGCCCAATGAGCGCACCTACAACACGCTGCTAATGGGTCTCTGCAAGAACAAGAAGCTGGACAAGGCCGTGGAGGTGTACAAGTCCATGGTAGCGGTTGGGATGAAGCTTGAGTCGCCGGCGTCGCCTCCTATGTCAGGGCGCTGTGTCGATCGGGCAGCGTCGCCGCCGACGCGTATGAGGTGTTTGATTATGCGATTCAGACCAAGAGTTTCACCGAGGTGACGGCGTATTCTGAGCTTGAGAACTCTCTCAAGTGGCTGCGCAAGATGAAGTCATGACGCAAACTGCAAGGAGAGTATGCATACGACAAGGCCGCGTGTGGCATGTTTTGTCTTGCTGAATTTGGTCTGTTTGCATGGGCCAAACCAGTATACATGCTAAGCTAAACCAAATGAGTAGCAAGTTTTCAGATGTTGGTTTGGTTGGATGTTTTCTAGCACTCAGAGCATGTAGACATCAAAATTGATAATTTTCTGTGCTGTCTACACTTCGGAATGTTAGTTGTTTCATAATTTCTTGTTACATCAATGTCCTGTTTTTATTTTGTTCTTCCAGGTTCTTGCATAGGGTCTAGATATTCCTGATGTTGGTTCAGATAGGAATCTGTCTTGGCAGGACCTGCCTTAAAACTAATACATTTTGTTGAAGGAATGCATGTGTCTGAAGTCTCAGTTTTGATTCAGTTATGGTAATCTGCAGATGCTGTTGATGTAGCCTATTTTCCTTGTTGCACATGAATTGAACATGGGTCTCTGCAATCACAAGAAGCTGGACAAGGCCGTCGAGGTGTACAAGTCCGTGGAAGTGGCTGTGATGAAGCTTGAGTCGTCAGCATATGCCTCGTTTGTCAGGGTGCTTTGTCGATCGGGCAGCGTTGCCGGCGCGTATGAGGTGTTTGATTATGCGATTCAGACCAAGAGTTTCACGGAGGTGACGGCGTATTCTGAGCTTGAGAACTCTATCAAGTGGCTGCGCAAGATGAAGTCATGACGCAAACTGCAAGGAGCTAGAAATAGGTGTTTTGTCTTGCTGAGTTTGGTCTGTTTGCATGTGCCAAACCAGTATAGCTAAACCAAATCAGTATCAAGTTTTTAAATGTTGGTTTGGTTGGATGTTTTCTAGCACTCAGAGCATGTAGACATCAAAATCAGATAATTTTCTGTGCCATCAACATTTGGTTTTCCTGACTATTACCAAGTTGCAATGCAACAGTGAACTGATAAAATACATCTGACTGAGCAAGCAAGACTTGATGACAGACCCAAGTAATATGACGTTTCACTGAATGAATAACTCAATACAATGTTTCACATGTTTTTAGCAGAAACCTGTGGTTTTCAGCAAAAATGAATGCTAGAAATATGGTACAGGTGTCATAAGCAGTATCATTAGCCCTGCTCTACACAAGGGCAGTAGTATCGTTAACAGTATGATTAGGAGCAAATGTATCGTTAGCAGTATCATTAGCCCTGCTCTACACAATGGCGGCATAGCTAGGCCATGGTAATGTCTAGCTGAAAGATCGGCAGCAGGCCAGCTCTGAAGAGGCTGCGCTGAAATCGGGCCACGAGTCCAGGGAAGTCGTCCTCAAAGATGATTGCTGACCAGATTTCGTCGACAATGGCGCGCCAGGTAGGGGCTGTGCGTGCTGATTCCATGGCCAACCATATGGTCACTTTCCCGAGCTCCATGGCCAACCAGATGACTTCCTACGCTACCTCAGGGGTGCGGGTGTGGGTGCTGAACGTAATCGGCGTTGATTGCTTGTTTTACACAGCGGCTCGTGTGATGTCTATTCGTACTCTGAGGCACTCACTGTGTTTCTTCGCTTATACTTAGGCACCAATGACATCTAATCAATCTCCCGTATTTCATCTATCTGTCGACTATAAAAGACTTGCTCTATTTAAATTGATGGTGTCCTTTGTTTTTTCTTATGATCCATTTTTTATGGGGTCTTTTGTTTTTTCTCAAAATCTATACACAAATGCACAATCTTATGATCTATTCAAAATTTCAAATTCATCACATAGTTATTTTTTCACTTGAAATCCATTTCATTTCTTGACACATCTTGCCCCGGTTTGTGCTTGTTAAAGCCTATCTCTAGTACCTAATAGTTAAAGTTCACACTAAACAACAAATGACTATTGTGTATTTAGCTTTTATTTATATTGATACATGACCATTGGATTGGTGCTAAGTGGCAACCATCCAAATCAATCCATACAAAATATTCTAATTCAAGATCATTCCACACTTCACCCTATATCATAGTGAGCTAAATATCTACCTTCTATATTGTTGTAGACTTTCTCATAATCTTACCCTTTTGGATGGCAACAATCTAGTCTTGTAGTTACCAAAGCCTTTTAGAAATTTCTTATATTCACTATGAAGCATGGTTGCATGTTCTAGTCTTTTCTTCCATTAACAGAAATTAGCTCTAGACTCTTGGATGGTAAATACCTTATTACCTCTTTTAATATCGAGATCGTTTCTAGAATCTTCCAAGTATCCATTGTTGTTTTCAATAATATAATATACAAATGTGTCAAAACCCAGCATCATGCAATGGATGTCTAATAAGCGCCGAGAACAGAGGGCCAAAACCCAGCACGTCATGGTGAAGTGACAAGAAGCCGAGGCGTGGTCGGAGCACCTCTATCTCGTCTTGGATGATCGGGACAAGGGGTTCAAGATCCACAAGATCGACGCCGACAGCTTTGACACCAACGACGGCTCGCAGAAGGGGTCGTCGGGCACCTCCGAAACCTCTCGCCTGCGGTTAGAGTCACCGGCTTGCCACGTGCCCCCACACTGCATGTCCTTCGCCACCACAGGCACCAAGATCTTCGCCTTCATGACCCAAATACGCGGCCTCGCTTCACGACTCCGAGACGGCCGTCTTGGCCATCGGCACTCATGCCCCTCCTAAAATGCTATGTGGCTTCGGATCATCCGCGGGCCGTTGGTGAGGTGATCTCACGCCTTGACGTATCGCTTCTCCAACGGCCAACACTCGTTCGAAGCCATGTCTTGGGAGCATCCCACGGAGGGCTGGTCTTGGAAGACTCTGCCACCGCCGCCTTCAACATTTCGCGGCCGCGTTAACTCTTATGCGCTACACCCGGACGGATGCACCATCTTCATGACCTCGGCGAATAATGGCCGCATGGGCACCTACTCATTCAACACCAAGGATTCTGCTTGCAGGTGGTATGGCGAGTGGGTGTTGCCATTCGTTGGACAAGCTCACTTTGACGGTGAGACCAACTCGTGGGTTGGCCTTTGCTGGGATGGCTACATTTGTTCCTGCAAAGTTGTCTCCCCCGACTGCCTCAACACTGCTCCGGATTGGCAGATGACAAAGGAGAAGTTATTCTACAAGTACCGGTTGTCGATGTTTCACCACCGATAGCCTGCCACGGGGATCCTCGGGGCAGTTTGTTCGGGCTTCAGCGTGTGCAGAATTCGACGGTTAACGCAAGAGACAGTCGATTTATCCTGGTTTGGACCCTCGATCGTTGATCGAGTAATAGCCCTACGTCCAGTCGGCGTTAGCCTTTGCGTTGGATTGATTGTGAAGTATTGTGTCGTCCAAAGTCCTCTCGTCTCTAGGAACCCTGCCCTCCTTTATATAGTCAGGAGGCCAAAGTCCTAGTCGGTTTACAATAAGAATTTCTAGTAGGATTACAGAATACTACTACTACTAAGATTATATGGGAAGAATCCTACTTAGACTAGATCTTCTTCCTTTCTTGTGGGGTATCCCGTGGGTCCCGCACCGACAAGCCCCCGAACACTTCATGGTTGAGCTCTGAAAGCCTTGTCTTGTTACTCTAGGTCTTGTCGAGTAGGAACAAGCGTCGTCCGAGTGCTTTCTCGAGTGAAACCATGTAGCGCTTCTTGGGATCTTCGAGTGGTGTGCGCTTCTTCTTTTTTGAAGAAAAAGTACTCCCATCTTGGTGTAGCCCCCGAGCCTCTTGCTATTTGGAACAAGGAGCTGGAGGGTCTTGTCATGAAATTGCTCTGATTCTTCGTCGAAGGACTCCCGAGCATATACACGGGTTCTTTATCAAAAAGAACTCGGATATAGCTCGGTCCAGGTTCTTTTTGTCGTGAGACCTTGAAGTGGTCTGTCTTGAAGAAGTCTTCTTGGTGACGTGCGCTTTTTCGAAGAAAAAAGTGCACTCACCGAGTGTAGCCCCAGCCTCTTGCTATTTGGAACAAAAAGTTGGAGGGTCTTGAATCTTATGTTGTTTGAAAACTCCTGTCTTGAAGAAGTCTTCTGAGTGATGTGCGCTTTTTGGAAGAAAAAGTGCACTCACTGAGTGTAGCCCCCGAGCCTCTTACTATTTGGAACAAAAAGTTGGAGGGTCTTGGATATGAGTTGTTCAAAGAACTGAAAACCTCTTCTGAGGATATGTAGGATCTTGTAGACATTCTCAAGGGTGTATCCAAGTAACCTGCGAACTGCAGTAGGCTATCCATATACCATTGCAAGTCAACACAGTTGCGCCACCGAGTACTTTCCATAATTAGCTTGCGTGCTTGATGTCTTCTTGCATGCTGCTGTATGTCATGCCTCTTCCTTTGTTTCGCTTGAGTAACGAAAGTACATATAAATTTGCACGTGCATCCTCATATTCATGCTCATCTTGCTGACGCAAAATCTTCTCGTTCGACCATGATCCGATCCGAGTAAGGCAACCTAGATAATCCGTCAAAAGGCTCCGGGTGGGCAGTCCCCTCATCGGAGACCCCGTATCACCCCCACCTTAGAATTTCCAAATCACCGCAATAAGGTCGACCTTAGCTGTCGAGTAGTTGATCACCCCAACCGAGTAGTCGATCATCGCGGTCGAGTAGTCGGACGTCCTAGCGACTTGCAGAGCAGCAACCGAGTAAGACAGCGCGGGCGTGTGTCTTACCCATCGAAGTAGTGGCCAAGTAAGGCGGCCAGCGGTGGGCGAGCTCCTTATTTGATGATGTGGTCCAGAAAATGGTTCCCTGCAAAGTAATCATACGAAAGTATGTAATAATTGATACACAAGATATCAAGTTGGAAGTATGTCCCAGTATTATAAAATGCATATTAAATTTTTTCGCGTCTTGTTCTTCCTAGGCTATGTAATTTTCCTAGGTAGGTAGCCTATTACGTTTAAACACCTCTCGCACCTTTTCGGCGAGTAGGCTTCACGGATTAAGGCCTCAGCAACCCAGGTAAATTAACAACCGTTAAGAGAAGACATTATAAAATGCATATTAAATTTTTTCGCGTCTTGCTCTTACTAGGCTATGTAATTTCCTTAGGTAGATAGGCTGTTGCGTTTAAACACCTCTCGCACCTTTCCGGCGAGTAGGCTTCATGGATTAAGGCCTCAGCAACCCAGGTAAATTAACAACCGTTAAGATAAGATATTATAAAATGCATATTAAATTTTTTCGCGTCTTGCTCTTACTAGGCCATGTAATTTCTCTAGGTAGGTAGCCTGTTACGTTTAAATACCTCTCGCACCTTTCCGGCTAGTAGGCTTCACGGATTAAGGCCTCAGCAACCCAGATAAATTAACAACCGTTAAGAGAAGACTTTAGTAGTCGGGGATGCAACTGTAGTAGAGCCGCGGAGGCATATGGATAATATCCGGAGATATATGATGAGTAAAGAATATTTGAAAAAATATTAAACCATGACTTAGCTTGATTGATGGCCGCGTGGTAGAATCAGGGCGTGGTCCTGGCGTTTTGAGCTGAGGAGCCCCCGAGCATTAGCTTGACCTTTGTGGCCGAGTAGTCGAACACCACAACCAAGTAGTCGGTCACCACGGCAAAGTACTCGGACATGCGGACGAGTAGTCGCAGCAGGGTGGTTGTTGATGAAAATAGATCATTCGCAGCATCCGGTTGAGTAGTTCACAGATCAATCCGTGATCGACCGGACCCGTTCCAGATCAGTACGTTGAGTCCGAGTAATCCTTGTAGCTTCC